TTTCAGAAAAGACCATTGATAATATTAAAACACTTATAGATTATTACTAAAAAATTGGATACTTGGTTGGCCAGTATTATTATGGTGTCAATTTAACCAAATGATTAGAACAGATAATTTGAGTGAAATTTATCATTCTGCGCTTGTTAAAAGAATAAGTTGCATTAAACCAACATTGCCAAAATTGCTAATAAATTTGATGAAAATTGAAGACAATGAACTCAAAAAATTGGATCAAATGGATCGAGGTAACAACTTTTTTATAAATCGCCCAACCAGAATATACAATCTTACATTAAATTATTAATCCAAAAATAGTCCAAAATCCCACGTTGAATCCAATTAACTCGAGGAAATTGATTTATACATCTGGAACAATCTTTACGAAATAAACGATGAAGAAAACGCTCCAACGATAGACCGCAAAGTAATTAAAACAAAACCAATTGATGAAAATTACATTGTAATTATTAAGGATAAATTAAAAAATGGAATTTACACCGCCGATAGTATGCACTAAAAATGTTGAAATAATTCAAAAAGTAAAAATCAAAGAAAAAACACTTGGTGGAATTAAAAAAAGTGATTATGTACCGATATCAAAACGAAGTTTTGTTGGAGACGGAAAAAGAAAAAGAAAATCAACAAAAATATAATATCAATAAATTGATATTATTATGTTTTATTGTTTATATAATGCCAGTTTTTTTTGCATATTTACATTAACAACATTTTTTGTCGTCGAATAAACAATATATTATACAAATAAGTGTTGTTGTTTATTTTTTAATGTTATTTTTAATTATTTTATTACAATTACAAGTTAATACAATATTATTCAAAACACGATTGTAAAAAGAGCGTCTCAAAAATATAATCTGAAACATGTTACAATAAAAAACATAAAAATGTTTAAAAACAGATTTTAATTTAAAATTATTGTTTAAATAATTGTTATGTCTAAAAATAAAAAATGTACGAATATTCCCTGCTAGAATTTTTTTGCCAGAATATTTTATCACCCAATCACTTCTGGAGTTTCCGAAATACCTTTCTTGAGAGCCAAATCCAGTCTATGACACGAGCATTCAACAGAAACATGCCCAAATAACTAGACACTATTAACGACATTGGATGCATTGTCTGTTATAATTGGAAAGACTCCGTATTTACCAAGATTCCAATTATCAACAACCTGATTACTAAAATTTGAAATGTTATCAGCATTATGAGAATCCGAAAATTCGGACAATTCCAGAATTATTGACTTCATCTGAGAATTGTATAAATAGTGTAAGGTAAAACTAAAGAATTCAAGACCTTGTGGAAATTTCCATCCGTCCATTGTACCACAAATGCCGCTTTGTGATTCGCCTATTTCTTGTGACAATTTTGTTTTCAATTTAATATAGGTACCTTTCAACCTCGTTGATAATGTCTGATGAGATGGCAGTTTGTAAGTTTTACCAAAGTAATATAAAAGTTTGACGAAAGGTTCATATTCTACAATAGATAGTGGTATGCCAGGACATGACACCAGGTGCACCAAAAGTTCATCAATTTTTCTGTGGAGAACACTGGGATCTGTTTTAGCTTTGTTGTATTCACCATGTTTCTTTTCAAGTTGTGGGATACCACAACAATCTGGGTGCTTCTTTCTCAAATGCTTGAGCACATTTGTTGTAGTAAAACTGCTGCCACATGCGTATCTCGCTTTACAATGTTGACACACAAACTTGTATATACCTTGAACCATGTTATTTTTTTTTCTTTTGTGTTGTCTTTTGCCAGTCTTTTGATTATATTCATATACATCCGTTTCATTGTATGTCTTGATTGTTTCTTCTTTCTCGCCATCTTCTCCATTTGTTATTTGAACAAAGACAAGTTTACAATTACTCCAAATTTTTATGTGTTCAATTGATATTTCTTCAGACATTGTTTGTTATATTATTTTATTTTTTTATTTAAATATGATCATATTTAACTGCCACAATTGATTATTTGAATGTTTTTGACTTAAAACATTTTATTTGTAACATTTTGTGGTTTGTTTTTTTTGATTTGTTTTAAAAACAAAAAATAA